TCAAGTGTTTAAACACGCATTCGTTTTTTAAGTAGCATCTGGCCAGCCGGCAAATGTCGTGAGGGCTAATGTTCGTATCTATGTAAGTAGCATTTGGCCAATCGGCAACTGCCGTGAGGGCTGTACATATTTACGCATGTTAGATTAGGTCAGGTCACGTCAGGTCAGGCTAGGTTTGCTTTGGTTTGGGGCAGAAAGAAGCATCTCCGGGTAGCGCCTCTCCTTGGTTGCTAAAACGAAACTCGCGAGTGCCAGACATTACGAAGTCCAAAAGACAGTTACGTAGACGTCGGCCCATTCTGGATTTTTTATATGATGTAGCTAATGTATGGGAGGATGAAATATGTAAAAATCAGCAAAATCGAAGGGTACCCATTTTTCAGAAAATCAAAATTTATTTTTTGAATTTTATTTTAGTTCATTAATTAGCTAATTATGTCAATATTGTTATCCTCAAATTAAAGCCTGATCTATTCCCTCCATTTCACACTTTGTCTCATGGTGATATGTCTAAAACTTCAATGGTTATGACGCTTTAAAGATGATAATGTGCCTTGCCTAAGTCAATGTTTGATGACGTGTATCTCGGAAACGTGACGTCATATCTTGACAAAAACATGTCTCCTTTCTTTTCACATATAGATGAGTAGTTTCACAAACTTTCGCAAAAATTGGAGGAGGTGAGGTTCAAAATGGTCATTTTTTGTCTCACTTGACGTGGAATGCCCCAGTAGCCGCTTTCACATCATCTGGTACACATTAGGTGCACACGAGGTGCAGATGTGGTGTAGATTTAGTCAAATTAAGTTCAGTGTATTTCGGCCGCCCCGTTATCAGTTATCAGTTTGGACAGCATAGATGCTAATAGTATACACACCATTTTTCAAATTTTCAGACATCATTTTCGACTAAAACAGTGAAACAAGGTCATGATACCAAGATATTTATTGTAAAAGAGATTTGGTTCACATTTGGTTAAATAAGGTGCATTTGTTAGAAGTCTTTGTTAGTCTTGAAAACGGTTATGGCAAGGAGTGAATTTGATTTTATTTATCATTTATTTAATTATATGAACGCAAGGACCATGAATTTAAATACTCGCACCCACCGAGCGTCTGCATGCTTGCCAGGCGCCTGGGAGCGCGCGCTGCGAATTCTGAATGGCCTCGGCCGGCGCCGGAGCCGGCTCTTTGACAAACGGTACGGCCGGCAGCGGCGCAGTGTCCGTGCTGGAACGTGACCGGCGCTGACCGGGCCCGGCCGGTCGGCCGCCAGAGAGGCCGGCCAGAGGTGATAGCGTCCGTCGCCGCCCCCGCCCCCGCCCCGTGGGCATATCGCCCCGGGCAGAACGCGGGGCGGCCCGGCCGGACTGCTCCCCACGGACGCCGGTCGGCACCACTGCGGAGGCCGGCGGGCGGACGGGCGGTCCACCGAGGTGGATATCGTGCAGTCACGGGGCGAGCGGCCGCGCCGGCCCTCTGACAAATGACCCCATACCCGGGGCCGTGGCGGCGCTGACACCGGCCCGCCGGCCGGCGACCGCGCCGGTGCGCCGTGTGGTGCCCAGTTTCCTGGCACTGAGCGGCCGGCTGACCCCCGCTGACCGGTGCGTGGCAAAGTCACGTTAACCTGCAGCACTCGCGCTCTAATGTAGATGAAGATTGATTTACTGCGTACCTGCAGGCAAATGCATGTTGTCAGTTGCAGCGGCCGAGACACGCCTTTCAGCTCTATAACACACATGAGCTAAGTAAACAGGGCGGCCTGCAAACAGAGCGGACATTCAATCCGCTTAGCGTGTGTGTTTGTATGAGTGTGTGCTCCATATATGGGACGGGGAGACTGCAATCGTGGCCGACCCGTTGCGAGTGACCCAGACCGTTCCGCGAGGGGCTGGTCTTGGCAGGCCGCGGCGATTTGCAGGACGAGGAACCGACATACAAAGAGTCGTCAATTTTCTATGCCTACAATCATTGAATGCAATCATACCTTGGGCATGGCTGCAAAGGTGGAAGGCAGGAAATTACGGATAATGATATAAGGAAAAGTCATAGGCACTTGTCAGAAAAATAATCAACGTAACTCCGGCATTTTTAAACCTGCATTCAAAATTAGCTACAGCTGAATGCAGCCAAACCATAACTCGTTTGATCATCGCAACTGCTGCATAAAACATTCCGAACGAAGGTCGATCGGCCATTACGTCTGAGAAGACACAGATTAACCCGCGCCCCGTAGGGGGGGGCCGAAACGGCCCCCCTGTCCTTTTCGGTCGATATCTCCTAAACCGCTTCAGATATCGCCACCAAACTTTCAGGACCCCTCCGGGCATCAATTTTACACATTGTGACCAAAAATTTTCCCAGAGGCTATGATAGGTTGGCCACAAATGACGTCAGAATGACGTCATGTTCTGTCATTTTCGACCGAAAAAAGACCTTCGCGAGAAGACCTGTCAGGCCTACAGCTTTGAAGATACAGAAAAATGATCAAGACATAAAGGGTGTAGAATTGACAGGGCTACAAAACTGCTATCTCGGATTTTTGAAATTTTTGAGTTTTGAACCCCAAAAATCAAAAAAACATTTTTTTGGATATATTAGCCAAAAATTCCAAAAAGTTTTTTGAGTTTCAAAAAAACCGGAATATATGTGATAGTACCTACCGTCTTCTATCTACATACCGAATTTCAGATCGATACCTCGTTTTTTGGCCAAGTTATAGCGAAAAAACTGTTCAAAATTGATGACGTCAAATTTTCAAACTCAATTTTTGGCAGTTCTAGACCTCGTAGAGCAAAACAAAGACCACCATTAGACTCCCCATGACAAGCTGCATCGAATCGATACCCATTTTATGCAAAAATATCAACTTTGAAATTTGACCTTATTTGACCTGACCTTGACCTGACCTTCACCAAAACGTGACCTAGGCTGGCCCCAAAGGCTGCCTAACCCACGTAATCACATTTGTCATGTAAAATGGACCATAAAACATGTATCACACGACACTTTCATATTGTGACCCCGGTGACCTGACCTCGCTGTGACCTGACCTGGTATCAGTGACCTCAGATAGCAAAGTATGTGTTTGACGAACAATGTACCATCAATGGTTTTCAATAAATTACCAATTAACTCGATTTCACAACACATTTCTTGAAATGCCTGTGAACGGTGAAAATCTGACCTTTGACCTGACCTGTGACGTCATCGGTTTGACCTAGGTCAATGAAATTTGGTCACAAGGTAGTTCCCGGGTGGGGCTATCGAACGCCGTTTGAATTTTGAAAATCGGCCGGTAACTTTCCGAGATCTTAGGGGGGCCGAAACGCCCCCCCCCCCCCTACGGGTGGTAGGGTCCGTCGGTAGCCCTACGGGGCGCGGGTTAAGTTATCTTTTTAAACAGATTCAGCACATTAAACGATTTTTTCAATCGTTTTTGCATTATTTCTCCTCAGAACTATTCCTATTCGAGCTATTATGTTAGATGATAAGGCAAGTGTTTGTTTGATTTAACCCTCGCCCGTAAACGGTGTTTTGCCACCTTCGCCCATGCAGGGGGGGGTGGTGCGACCCCCCCTGGCGTTTGAAAACGAAGCGTCGTAGAGCTTAGCGGAAAAGACCAACGGATTGCTCGCAACGAGATCTCGCGATTGGTGGTATATTTTGTGGTCCTAGGTCAACATTTGACCTACTTATGACCGGTCAAAGGTCAAATTTTCGAAAAAATCTAACTTTTTCAGATTTCCGCGCCGATTGCGGCAAAACGGTAAGAGATATCGACTTGAAACCTTCACTATCGTGATCCTTGATCAATTCTCTATCGTTTGGTGTGTATTTCGATGTCATAACTCTAAAAATGATGCGTTGGGAGCATCGGAAGTCTGCAAGGTCATTTGTGCATTGGGTCACGTCAGGCGTGTGACGTCACTGACCTGACCCTGACCCAAAATGAACTACAAGAAACAACGGATGATGCCTGAAATGGATAGCAAATTCGAATTCAGGGCATCAAAATACCCCGAAAAGGCATACAAGTGCAAGAAGTCATTACAGGTCAACCGAGGTCACTGACCTGACCTTGACCTTTAGTGACCTTCAAAATGTCAACGGACATTGTGTCAATGTCAATTCAGCCAGTTGTGATTCTAAAACAATCCATCAGTGCGTCAGGTCAGTCGGCATTTATACCAATGTGAAGCAATCTCCGATTTAGCGTAAATCTGGCCGGAGGTTGTTCCCTTTGTGACGTCATAACTCCGTGACCTGACATGACCTTGACAAAAAAATTATCAAAAGTTGCGCAAAGGATGCCCCAAAGGGTACTGAAAATTTGAGCAGGCTATCTGAAACGGTTCGGCGTGTAGCTAAGAAAAACCTCAGGTGGGGGGGGGGGTGCACCAACCCCCCCCCCCCTACAAGGGCGAGGGTTAAATTTACCAAAGTCAAGGCCAAGATGTGGACGTAAGTACTTCACGTTAAAAAATCCAGTATTTCTACCTCGAATGACAATAGCATTAGCCGAGTCATTCAGCGAAGTTGATTTAAGCATGGCAATAGCATGGCAGGTATAGCAAGATAGGTAAATAACACTTCTTGCGCCGTTTACGCCCGTCACCAAAGGCAATGGCTGCGTGCAATGTTGTGCACCCTATAAATATATGCGTAAATACATATGAAACTGTATCTCCATTCAGGTCAAGCAATCTGTGTTGACGAAAGGGCTTAAGAAGTGAAGGAACCTTGTATATGGAACCTTGTATATAACCAGTCGGCCGGTGACAGCGGGCGGGTCAGGACGCGTGCGCGCGCTGCTCCGCTGAGCCACGCAGAGTGCGGAGTCCCCGAGCGTGACCACGCACTCCTCGTTTGCTGTGCCGGTGGCTTTTTGTTGGCTCCACAGTGAACACATGAAAGTGTGAGCCTCAGACTTACGTGGAGCCTGCGACATTAGTGCCTTCGATTTTTGCCAACGCGCTGCAGACACGCGCGTCTGCCATGCCGCGCCGAGCCGCGTCGCAGTGTACAGGCGAGGACAGTGACAGTGTGACGGGTGGTCACCCGTCCGACACCAGTTGCGATCAGCGATCCGTCAGTGAGTTGGTGCGCAACTACAGCGACCCCGCCGGTGAAGGACAGAAGCGGGACCGATCAGAGTCTGGAGACGTTGCACCCGCCTGCAAGCGCGGGGCCAGAGAGCGGAACGGCGAGCCGGGCCGCAGCCCGTCGACACTCGGCGGCAACAGAGGCTTCAGAGAGCAACTGGACGTCGCCATCGACGGGCTGGAGGAACGACTAATGGCCGCATTCTCCAGAGAACTCCACGAGTTCCGCACGTCGTTATCGGCGGAGATCGAAAAGCTCAACGGTCGCGTGAAAGAGTTGGAGCGGCACGTGGAAGAGAGAGATGGCGTTATTGACCAGCTAAGCGAGGAGCTCGACCGGTCTCGCTCGGTGGTGTCGACGCTGGAGACCCGGGTAGAGGAGGCTGAGATTAATTCAAGACTCCCCTGCATCATCCTCTCCGGCGCCGCCATGGCGGCCCGCCGCGCGCCCCGCCTGGAGCCGCCCCTGCCGAACCAGACAGCGCCTGCGGCGGTCGACCCTCGGCCGATCGCGCTGGCTGACACAGGTCGGGGTTCTCCGACCGTGACGTCAGAGTCAGCTGATCGCCCGAACAGCGGCGGACCGGGTCAGTCGGCGGGCCGCGGTGCCGGGGGGCGGGCTGCGGGGCGAGCCGGCGAGTGGGAAGAGCGAGAGGACATCAACGGTCTCGTCATCAGCACCCTGAACCAGTGTCTGCCGGGACTGGAGGTCACCGCCAGCGATATCGACCGCGCCCACCGCCTGCCTGGCCCGAACAATCGTGTGATTGTGCGCTTCGTGCGTTCGGGCGAGGGGAGCATTCGTGACCGCGTGATGGGTCGCCGTATGGAGCTACGCGGAAAGGAACTCTATGTAAACGAGTCGCTAACCAAGCTTAGAAGCCGGATCTTCAGGTCCCTGCTGGCCGCCAAGCGAGAGCAGAAGATATACACAGTGTATTCCCGCGGTGGCTACGTGTTCTTCAAGGAACAGAAGCATGGCGTGGGAAAGAGAGTGGACACACTGCAGCGAGTGCGAGAGCTGGGCTTCGGCGTACTCGAACGCTAGAGACCGGCAGCTGCCGCGGACGACGGACGGCACGAGCGGTGGCGAGTCGGCGACCCTTGCCGGCTACCTCGCTACCACACCACACCAGGCAAGGAACTCCGATCCCCAACAGCTGCATGTGTCCACCCTTTAGTTACCTTTAAACGTATAATTGTAGCTGTTACCTGTTTTGTACTGTACCTGTAAAGTTTTAGCGTGTTTTCATGATGGGCATAAGTTTGCATTAATCATTGCTATAACTGTAATGTGTAAGTGTTTAGTTCCCGCTTGGACTGATGTTAACATATTCTGATTCCGAGTTTGTGTTCAGCCTTGCGAGGAACGAAGAGGAGGAGTTTGTGGGTATTGTCGCAGGCTCCATGTTTCCTTTTTTTAACCTTTGTTGATGGTTAGGTTTTGCTTAGTTTGTTTGGTTTGTCTTTGTTTTTGGTGTCTCATGTCTAATCACGATCCATTTTACATTTGTCATACTTTAACAGTTCTTTCTACATTGATGCGCTCATTCTATTGTGTAAAGTATGTTTGGTTCCGCTCTGTCCCTTGCATTTCATTTGTCCTCAGGATAGTTGTGGTGGGCTGCACTTTCGCCGGGCTGCTGGTAGTGTCGGCGGCGTGGCCGGTGGCGGCATCTGCTTCGGCTTCTGGGCGGTGCGCGGCGGCGGCGGAGAAACACCAGCTAGTAACTCCTTGTCGAACTGCGCAGTCACCGGTGCTGCCTGCGGCCGGCGAAGCTCGCTGCATTTCGATCCTCCCGCATCCTTTTGAGACTTTGGTAAGCAGTAGAACAGTTTATAAATTAACCCTAGATGTTACTGAATTTGTCTCTACATGCAGTGGCAGCGCTACTGGTACTCTAGTTAACAAATCCACCGCAAGCGACACGGACACAGCAGTTAAAACATCCCCTATTTCTTTCTCTTTCTTTCTTCTCTCTTTCTTTCAGTTAGTAAGTAAAGATAGCTAAAATTAATATAATTTCATGTAATGCGCGAGGCCTAGGCGCTCAACATAAACGTAGAGATGTGATGCATTACATAAGAAGTAAAAACAGTGACATTGTGTTACTTCAAGATACACACTTAACAACCGAAAAAGTAAGTGCATTTAACAGTTTATGGAAGGGAAAAGCATATCATTCCTTTTATAAATATAACAGTAGAGGAACTTCAATACTCATCAATAAAAGAATTCAACATGATGTAATGAATACATTTACCAACAGTGAAGGAAATTATGTCTTTCTAGAATGTAAAATCGGAACAGAAACATTTCTTATAGGCAGTGTATACGGGCCGAATCGCGATAGTCCAAGCTTTTATGAACGTATAGGTGATATCCTAGACAGTGTGGACTGTGACCACACAATCATTGGTGGAGACTTCAATTTCGTTCTGAATGTTGACATCGATTGCTACGGCTATGTCCAGGAAAATAACGTTAACGCTAGAAGAGAATTCCTCTCAGCTTGTGAGAAACATAATCTTGTTGACATTTGGAGAATTCATAACCCCGGAGATAAACAATATACCTGGCACACACCAGCCTACGACAAAGGTGCCAGGCTAGACATGTTCTTTGTTAGTCAACATTTAGTTAGTTTATGTCATGACGTGAAAATTTTTCCGGGCTATCGCACAGATCATAGTCAAGTTTCAGTCTGGTTGGTCCTAGGTGAATCACGAGGACCGGGACTGTGGAAGTTCAACGAGTCCCTACTGGATGATGAAGACTATGTTAAGACGGTAGAAGAATGCATTAAGAATACTATACAGCAATATGCCGTCCCATTATACACACAGACATTTATTTCAGATGGGATGAACTATAAGGATATACAGTTCAAGGTCGATGATAATTTATTCTATGAAACCCTACTGTTAATGATCCGGGGCGAAACCGTCAAATATTCTAAAAGAAAGACGAGACGAATCAGAGAAAAAGAGAAAGAGTTATCTGACAAGATTACAGACGCAGCTGCTAGGTTAACAATAGCAAGATCGGAAGAGAATTATATTCGCTTGAAAACACTTAAGGAGGAGCTTGAGGAAATGAGAAAACCCACTATTAATGGCCTGATCGTCCGATCAAAAACAAAGTGGCACGAAGAGGGCGAAAAATCGACAAAGTATTTTCTTGGACTTGAAAAGAGAAATGCCATGAAAAAAACTGTAACATCTCTTGCAATTCAGGGCAAAAAAGTATCAAAGACATCCGCAATACTAAACGAATTTACTCGAGACATGTCGAAGAAATATAATAAACCGCACATATTGCTGCCATCAATGACCAGCTACCTCACAATGACTTCGTCAAATTCACTAAGTGCACATGAAAACGCACTGCTAGATAAACCCATAACGTTTGATGAACTGACAGACGCTTTGCGCAAAATGAAGAAAGGAAAGTCACCCGGCTCGAACGGATATACAGCGTGTTTCTTCAGAAAATTTTGGGACAAATTGGGACCGTTTTTGTATAGAACTCTAATTTTCTCTTACGAGCAAGGTAAGATGCCTTCGACTCATCGAGAGGGTATCATCACTATGATCCCCAAAGCTGGAAAATCGCCCAATAGTTTAAAAGGATGGCGGCCGATAACATTATTAAATGTAGATTTCAAGATCATATCAACAGCTATTGCAGTCAGATTTCAAAAAGTAATAGATAAATTGATCGATCCCTGCCAGACGGCATATATCAGAGGCCGTTTTATTGGAGAAAATACACGTTTAGTATTTGACGTCATTAGTAAGCTGTTGGAAAACGAAAGTCCAGGATTAATTATGTCTGTCGATTTTGAGGCGGCATTCGATTCTATACCTTGGCAATTCATAGACAGAGTCTTAGAAAAATATAACTTTGGTCCGGTTTTCAGAGAGACTGTTAATCTCTTATATCTCAATGGCGAAAACTTCTCACGAATTTTACTAAACGGCTACTTAGGGGATAAGATAACGCTTAATTCCGGAATTCGACAGGGAGACCCAAGCTCCGGTTATTTATTTAATTTGGCGGTCAATATATTGGCAATAAAAATTAAGGAATCCAAACAGTTGAGGGGCATCACGCTAACAAATCATGTCGAAATACGAATTTCGCAGTACGCCGACGACACCGTATTATTTCTCGAGGACGCAAGGTGTGTGAAAGAAGCCTTGAATGAATTAAAAATCTTCTCCGAAGCATCTGGGTTATACATTAACATAGACAAAACAACGTGTCTCCCAATAGGGCCGTTTCAAGAGAATATGGAAGACATCCATGGTGTTAAATGCGTCAGTGATATGAAAATATTGGGTATTGTTTTTAATAACCAAAGTACCAATATAACTAGTGTCAACTTGGAGCCAAAGCTATTGCAATTGCAAAAAGAAATGGCACAGTGGCGTAGAAGAAACTTAACTATTCTCGGAAGGATCACGGTAGTGAAGTCTTTATTCATAGCAAAATTTGTGCATTTATTCACAGCCCTGCCTAACCCAACACAGATTAACTTGAAACGTCTCAATAATTTATTGTACTCATTCGTATGGGCAGGTAAGAACGACCGTATCAAGCGTGCCAAATTATCCCAAAGCTATAAAGACGGAGGTTTAAAGATGGTTGACATCCAAGCGTTCATAATGAGCATGAAACTCACATGGCTCAAAAGATTAGTAAGTAGTCGAGCTCCATGGGTTAACATCTTTGCTTTAGAGGTAACAAACATACAAGATATTTTTTCATATGGAAGTAAATATCTGAAAAAAATAAGTAGTAAAGCGAGCAACCCGTTCTGGAGAGATGTATTGGGCGCATTTGCATATTTCACTAGCATATACCGACTAGATACGCCAGAAATAATGTCTGAAAACATATGGTTTTCAGACTATACAAAATTTACATGCTCCATCATAAAAAGTTGGCAAACAAAAGGTTTACGATTTCTGGGCGACTTGATTGACGAAAATACGGGGCGGTTGCACACAAAAGAGAGCTTACAGAGAGCGTATCACATAAAGATGACCATTCTCTGTTATACCAGCTTGATTCGAAGTTTACCCAGCTCCATGAAATCAGAAGTAATGGACAAAATATGTCAACCGACGATTCCATTCAGAATGAATTTGGTAATGAACGAGGCTAATTTCTCTCGTTTAGCCTACACTAAATTAGTACAACATAGAAAGATAGAGCTAAGAGAATCTGACGAAAGACAAAAACAGAAATGGATAAGAGATGTTGGATGCTATGACGAACATAGCTGCCTTGAGGTTAATAACGCCACAAAGTCAACACGCATAAAGATTTTCCATTATAAGCTCGTTAATCGTATCCTCGCTACAAATAAATATTTAAATATAATAAAAATAAAAGCTAGTGAAAGTTGTACTTTTTGTAACATGGAGCCGGAAACACTAGCTCATCTGTTCTGGTACTGTCCGATAATAAAGCAGTTTATCAACGCGGTGAAATCGGACATATTGGACAAATACAACATCAACTTAAGCTTAGATCCTAAACTGTGGTTTTTTCCCAAAGACATAAGCGCAAGAGAAACATGCATAATAACATTAGCAAAGCTAGTCATTTATTCAGCACGTATGAAAGAGATCTCACCAAATATTATTCACTTACACAACAAAATAAAACAAGAACTTGAAGTAGAAAGCAAAGCAGCTGAACATACCGGCAAGCAAGACTACTTCAAAAAGAAGTGGGGGTCACTCATAAATATGGGTGACCGACAAAGAAACCAAAACTCAACAAACTAGGAAAATCATCGGTGACTAATAATCAAAAGTCAGCACACTACACATATCGCAGAAACACAAAATAAAATTGGAATACCTACTACAGCCATGTGCAGCGAGCTTCGTCGGTTTGTTGGGCGGGGCAGGGCATGCAGTCCCGATATTTGATTAAACAGGTGACCGCATGAAGGTCCCGTGTACGCTGCCGCCGCCGCGCCCGTCGTCTGGTCGGCCGGGCAGCTGCCGCCGCCGGCGGCGCCGCCGTCGCCGCCACGCACTACGGACGATTGTGTCAGTGTTTCTGCTAACTATGTTGTTTAGATCTTCATCTCTGGGTTTATGATTTGTCATATCCATGCTTTTGTCACTGTTTCGTTGTGGTTAAAGAGTATGTGGTCAGTCAGAGAGCGCGTGCGAGAGAGACCGGTGCGTAGAAGGAATCGGTCCGGTGTCCAGTCCGGTATGGGGCCATGAGGTCAGCTCGTAGGCAAATGCTATTTTGTTATGGATGTTTATATTATGTTGGCTAGTTTGGTGCGGAGTGAGCGAAAGACAGGGGCCAGGAGCTTTTTGAGGGCGCTGGAACGTCGTGCGTTTGTGACATGAGATCATGTAAAATGTGGTTTGTCGTAATAAATGATGATGTATGGAAAAAAAAAAGAACCTTGTATTCGGCTGTGACTGACCTTTTGTGACCTATGGTGCAAGGTCGTCTGCTGAAAACGGTCCAGCATGGAAGAAAACTACTTGGCTGTGTCAGTCGTTCGAGTGTACCTAAATAAGAAAAACGTATGTGCACATGTTACTGAATCGATATGATGGTAAGGCATTGCTTTTACAACACATTCAGTTCATGTCAATGATAAGACAACACGTGTATGGTATTGATAAATTGTTGGTAAATGCTGGTGAGAAATATCCAGTGGCCATCCTGTGGCTCATATTTTCTTACTGATTATATCAAAAGTGGGTATTGCTTGAAATCCCTGGACTTAAACGAATGACATATATTATAATGCAATAGTACCTACTTTCCAGCCTAAAAGTTCGTCAAATTACGTTTGAATCAACGATCAACTACGTAATGCCTGGTGAAAAACAGACAAGAAATCAAGTTTATTGGAAATTTATAGCAGGGAGAATAATCACGGTCCATTTAAACTTATGTAAACCTACCAACAACTTTCGGTTGTCAGAAGTTTTTATAAGAATAATTGAAACTAAATGTTTTGTATTTTGGTTTTCACAAGAATGTTTCAACATTAAAAACATGGCCTTTGAATATTGGTCTTGAGCTCTTGCAGCGAGTCATTTTGTCAACATCAAAAGAGCTCGCCGCCCTCGTGATTAAGTTTCCCAGCCATAAATTGTGTATGCGATACTCATAGCATGTTAAAATCGTAAATAAATATTTTTGCGCCACCTGGGTACGGTAAGTGCACACCTGATGGGGTGCATACAGTCGTAAATAATGACATTCACCGGCTCCAGGTAATCAGCAATCATGCAGCTCAAAACACTGACGGTGGGACGCGACGACACGCCGCATTCAATGCTAATTGTCTGTTAGTCGTGCCAATACTTTACGGCCGCACCATCTATATTGCACTATTGACCGCGGGCCGACAATTTGTCAGGGTCAAGCGGAACGGCAATCAGCACTGAGGACTGTGCTCTGGGAATCCATCGCCCTCACCAGCTCGGAGCCGGATTTACGAGCTGAATACCAGCTACTTGAAGCGCTGCTGCTAACTTGCTGACTCGCTTTAAAATCGCCACTCTGTCGACGATAAGCACTTGCATACAGTAGCTACCTAGTATGTACAGTAAATCAAGTACCTAAATAGGTACATACGTGTTGGAAGAGACCTGCAAACGTTCAGGATTTGTTTCAGAAACTATCCTTTATGTCAGTTAAATCTCTCTTTTCATGCATGCACAATCACACACGCTTTACAGCATCATTCAGCAATAACAGCACACACCGTCAACACCGCGCGGTTTCCAGAGTCTCGGCCAGCCTGCAAAACCAGCCGGACATGGTGCGAATGACTGTGCCATACCGACCAGCACAGTGCATACCCTCCGCTCAGCGCGCTCCCTCCGGCCGGCTGTCCGCCTCCTTCCCTGAGATCAGTCACCCTCAGGTCAGAGCAGGGACTGTGGCGAGTCGTCGATCCTTGAGTTGACTGCATCTTCTCTCTGTTCCAGGTGTCCAACATGTTCATCATGAGCCTGGCGGCGGCTGACCTCATTGTGGGCGTCTTCGTGATGCCTCTGGGCTCGCTGTACGCCATCAAAGGTGAGCGTTTATGGTGCTCGGTCACGCCAACCGGCCGGCTTCGTTTGGAACGTGGGCTTCCACACTCGTTATACACGCGCGGCTCATGGGCCGGGGACTTGTGAATGGTGTGTCGTTGGACTTCTTTGAATCTCCGGGGACTCCTGTGACACTGGTGACTCGGGCTTCATCTCCGGGACTCTCAGATATTTTCGCAGTCCGAGGACTCTGGAGATTCATGTGACTCTGGTGACTTCAACTGACTCCGTTGCGATAAATCAAACGTACGTACTGTCGGTGCCAACTTTGTCCCGCCATTCTCCACGCAGTGTCACTTTTATTGTCACCTGCAATACCGATTATACGAGTGAGGAATTTTCAAGTAGCTAGGCGCTGCTGTTGAATAAATCAACTACAGGTGCAATTAGGTCCTTGATGCGGTGCTAACAAGTTATGACCGAGATAAACTTCCGCCAAAGTTTCGCGCATCCAAGACAGCCTGAGGCGTGTCATTAATATTCTACAATAATGTGGTCCGAGCCCTGCGTCTGAATAGGATATTATTTTCTAATCCCTCTGGCTGAGCGCAGCGAACAATCGAAAGCCAAGGAAATGAAGGGTACCTACAATTGGTCCAATCGTTTCTTGTGCTCTATATAAACCTGCATCAGTGGTTATCAGTATATCAATTTGGGCTGCGAACTTGTCGGAAACTTATCTCCACATAACATCCATTACATAAACACGCAAGGTGTTTCTTAAAACAGCGGAGCCAGTTCCGCATTTAGTTGCGTGAGTGCGCGCACTAACTAACAGCACGTGCACGGAACACGGTCAGCTTCGGCTCTGCATTTCTATACAGGCGTCCTAAGGTCCGTTCCATGGCTAAGTCACGTACCGGGACGGCTGGGACCACTTCTGCGCCTGCCATCTATCGGGCAGTGTTTGGAACTACAGCGGGCGCCGGCCGGCCGCGCCACGCGGCGCCGTTACCGGGCTATGGAGGCGAATGAAGTGGTGTAAAACCAGACGAATTGTACGCTTGTAAAGCAAAAAAACGAAAAATGTACACTCACCACAGTGTTCAGCAAAGTACTGGGAACAACATGGATATAATTTACAGCTAGTACGATACGAACTGTTGGTTCCCTAGAGCAGTATTTACATACTTGTAGGAGATAGGACTTTAACATTACGGGAGCTTCTAAACTGCACTCGCAAAGTACTTGATTGTAAATATTTTCATTTAGAGGCAAAAATCTAAAAATGTACAGTCAGAGCGTTGTTCCCAATGCTTCTAGGTACACAATGAGCATAAATTTAGCTCGAAATGTCATCACACATTGGTTCCCAGTCCAGTTTAAAACGACACTTTGTGCCGCAGAGCCTACCTCTTCCAATGGATGGCGGCTGGGTGGCGGTTGTAGTGGTGGACAAGACAATTCTTGAGTGAAATGAAATCATTTGCTTTCAAAGAAAATTTTTGAAGAACTTGTAATAATTGACAAATGATCGTTAATTACAGTGTATACTTTCAAGTTCATGGCAAATGAAAATATTTTAAACAATGCTAGTGAACCCCAGTACCGCCGCGCGAGAAAGCAAGTACTCGACGCACGGTCTGCCCACCACTTCTGAAAATGGTCCGCGGCCGGCCGGCCGCGACCCGACACGAAGAAGCGTCATGAGTGGTTGGAAAGTTTTACAGTAACTGAAAATTACTGTGCGACGTTCCGGACTGGACAGTTTGACCCTTCCAAACAATAAGCTGCTTACGTCGCACAGCCGCACTTGTATCCAAAAGTGGGGATGCATTTATGAGCATTCATCACTTCACTCTCCGCATATATATATGTTACGGGTCATATGCTAACTTGGGCAGTATGCAAACTGCCCGGGCAGTATGCATACTACCCAACAGCCCGGGCAGTATGCATACCGCCCGGGTAGTATGCATACTACCCGACCCCTTGGGCAGTATGCATACCGCCCGGGCAGTATGCATACCTCCCGGGTAGTATGCATACCACCCACCTTTCTTCTCACGGGCAAGATGTTTACTCGGGCAGTATGTTGACTACACTTCGTGAGGCTTGTTAATGCAATAACTCGCGTATACGAGTATATGTGAATGACAAACGTTTTAACCTTCCGGGTGGTGGGGGGGGGGCATTTGTTGTCCCCCTGAGTTTTTTTTTTCGATATATCTCCAGAATTCCGCTGCGCCGATTGCCACCAAACTTTCAGTACCCTCCCGGGATCGTATAGCGTTTACACATTGTGACCAAACATTTTCCAAAGGCTATGATAGGTTGGCCGCTAATGACGTCGGAGTGACGTCATTTCTGCCATTTTCGACCCAAAAAAGGTTTCGCGGGAAGAGCTGTCAGGCCTACAGCTTTATAGACACAGAAAATGTTTAAGAATATTTATAAAAGGTGTCGAATTAGAGGTCCACAAAACTGCTATTTCGGATTTTTAAAATTTTTAGATTTTGACCCCCCCCCCCCAAATCAAAAAAGTAATTTTTTGAATATGATAGGCAAAAAACCAAAAAGTTTTTTCTTATTTCGAAAAAAAAAACGGAAAATATGTGATAGCCCCTACGGCCTTCTATCCACATACCAAATTTGAGATTGATTCCTCTTTTTTTGGGCAAAGTTACCTATAGCGAAAAAAGAACTGTTCAAAATTGATGACGTCAAATTTTGTCGTCGTCGTTTCATTTTACTCAGTTCACGCTTCACAATGACAATGACTTGTTGGCCACTGGTTATTCAACAATGGATTTGGGAAAAAGTAATTTCAACACTTTATTCCAATCCTCATTCCATCCTACGATCGATCAATCACGTTTGACGACAAAAATTCTTCTCGGTCGATCTATTGTTATCTAGAGAGCCATTTATATTCTTAATGTGGACATGGATTACACGACTTTAAGTCGGAAAGCGGGCAGTATGCAAACTGCCCAAGCTTTTGGGCGGTATGCATACTGCCCAAGGGGTCGGGTAGTATGCAAACTACCCGGGCGGTATGCATACTGCCCGGGCTGTTGGGTAGTATGCATACTGCCCGGGTAGTTTGCATACTGCCCAAGTTAGCATATGACCCGTAACATATATTGTTACGGGTCATATGCTAACTTGGGCAGTATGCAAACTACCCGGGCAGTATGCATACTACCCAACAGCCCGGGCAGTATGCATACCGCCCGGGTAGTATGCATACTACCCGACCCCTTGGGCAGTATGCATACCGCCCAAAAGCTTGGGCAGTTTGCATACTGCCCGCTGTCCGACTTAAAGTTGTGTAATCCATGTCCACATTAAGAATATAAATGGCTCTCTAGATAACAATACATAGATCGACCGAGAAGAATTTTTGTCGTCCAACGTGATTGATCGATCATAAGATGGAATGAGGATTGGAATAAAGTGTTGAAATTACTTTTTCCCAAATCCATTGTTGAATAACCAGTGGCCAACAAGTCATTGTCATTGTGAAGCGTGAACTGAGTAAAATGAAACGACGACGACAAAATTTGACGTCATCAACTTTGAACAGTTCTTTTTTCGCTATAACTTTGCCAAAAAAGAGGAATCAATATCAAATTTGGTATGTGGATAGAAGGCGGTAGGGACTATCACATATTTTCCGTTTTTTTCGAAATTCAGAAAACAACTTTTTTGGATTTCTTGCCTATTATATTAAGAAAATTACTTTTTTGATTTTGGGGGGTCAAAATCTAAAAGTTCAAAAATCCGAAATAGCAGTTTTGTAGCCCTCTAATTCGACACCTTTTATACCTATTCTTAACCTTCGCCCCAGTGGGGGGGGGGGCATATGTTACCACCCTGTCGCGTTTTTTGCGTGTGAATAAAAAACCGCGGCGCGAAGCGCCGCGCCGCCTGGGGTAGCTTTTGGTACATCAATTTTGGATAATGTGTAAAATTTTTGACCCCAGGTCATGTCAGGTCAGGTCACCAGGTCAAGTTAACTGACCAAGCCTAAAAAAAAGTTTCCAATCATGTCCAGCCTACAGTGTTTGTCAGAAAGGTTTCAAACTTAGTGGATTGCATGCTGTTATGGGCGCCTACAATTTGTATATCTCGGATTTTTTATATCAGTGACCTAAGGTGAGGTCAGTGGCGTGACCTTTCCATTGCAAGTCAATGGAGAAAAATGAAAATGCCTCTAGATCCGTGTGTACGCATCGGAACAGTCCAAATATTTCAGAATCACAATGATTTAGTCCACTCGTGATGACCAAGGTGTCATTTTTGCTGATAGCCTCTAGACAGGTCATCCGAGCACGGTTCGTCGGAAGGTCATCTCAGGCTCAAAAGAAACGATATGTACCATTCGAAAGCTGACGGTGAGCTGAATCCAAAAATGTAATATTTATCAAAATCGATCGATGGCCTTTTTTGAAAATCGCGTTTTTGTAAAAACTTTATAAGTTTTTATTCAACGGGCTGTCCCGGACATTCTTAAAAACACAAGCATGTATTTTTGAGTTCCAGTGAAAGCCGAACGCCAAAAGAACAATATTTAGCGAAGCAATATTTCCTAACATTAATATGCGTCTCCCACAGCCGACAATAAGGCGCAATTACACAGCTCAATGTCACGATGGACCAAAGTCGGCCACACAGAAGCGTGAAATGACCCTTATCGGCTCGCAGACCCGGCGCTCTCGGCCCGCCTGACCGGCCACGGCAAGGAGTTTCGGCTGTCGTTCTTCTAAACGGGCGTCATATTTGTTTGTTTAACGATTCAAGTCGGTACTTGAGTTATTCAGGATACATGAGCAGAAGATTCATTGCTCGGTCACCTTCACATCATGCATTAATTTGCATTTGTTCATGTCTACTTTGCTCAATTGAGCTTGGTATCATGCCCATATAAGGAAAATTGGCCGCGCTGAAATGTCAGCGGCTGCACCGGCCTCAGCTCGGGTGGAGTGGGGATAGCGCCCGGCGGGGCAGGGTAAACCTTTGACCGGTCACACGGCCGAG